GTATATAGCACCTTTCTATCTTATCAAGATACTCAAAGCTCTTTACAACACAATCTGTGCCCTCATTTATCCATTCATACAGCACTCTACTAGATCTATACAAAGAATAATCAGTGATTTATCTCATTCATACACCGATGGGACCCACATCGGAGGCAATGAGGGGTTCAGTGTCTTGTCCAGGGACACTTCAACATGTGACTGCTGGTGGAATCAAACCCTCAACTCTTGCATTGGAGGACGACTGCTCTAACCACTCAGCCACAGCTGCCCAATAAGGAAAGTGTGTTAAAGGAAAACTAGATCATCACATTTACATCAGTATTCAGACCCTTTACACAGTCCTGAGGTGAAGCACCTTTAGCAACAGGTCTGATGTAAAACAAACTTTGTAGACCGGACTGTGGGATTTTCTGCCTTTTTTTTTTTTTTTGTAAATCCTCTCATCTTCTGTTTGGTTGGATGAGATTGTTTGTGTACCACCATTTTCAGATCTCTCAGAGGTATCTGAAAGGGTTTATGTTAGGATTCAAGCTGAGTCACTCTCAGACATTCATAGGTTGTCACTAATGGCATTTTTGTATTGTAAGGCCCGGCCCAGCATGGGTTCAAACCCAGGTTCTGCATATTTGCATATGGCGTCATGGCCCACTTCCAACCTGATTCCTGGAACCCAGAGACCTGGGGATCCATTTGGTCCAGGCTGTTGGAGCCTATTTTACATCAACAATTTCTAATATTCTTTCGGCACGCCTTCGTCTCTCGCTCTGTTTTTGCTGCTCTTGAATTGCACAGAGAACAAAGAGAAGTAGAACGAGCTCAATGTCAATTGTTTTACCACAGACAATATTACATCACATGTTTTTGATGTGATGATCCCCACCTGCATCAAGGCAGCACTCTGCTCAGAGCAAACACAACCATGGCTGGGGTAGAATAAGGCCAGGCCGGCTTGTGACGATGCCTTACAGTGAACAAATGCCATAAGATGCTTTGAGTCATTGACATGGAGGAAGGTACACCTTCAACTCAGTCTGAGGTCCTGAGATCAGTGGAACAGATTTTTATTGAGGATATCTGTGTACTTGTGTTTGTTTGTCTTTCTGTCACCCTGACCGGTCTTCCAGCAGCTTAAAAACACCTCCACATCAAGATGCTGCCGCCACCATGCTTTACAGCTGGGGCGGTGTTCTGTTAGGCAATGGCAAGTGGTTTCCTCCAGACATAAAGTTTAGAACTGAGGTTCAGTCTCGGTTTCATCAGAATCCTGGTTCTGATAGTCAGAGAGTCCTTCAAGCAGCTTTCAAGTGCTTCACACGGAGGAGACTTCCATGTAAACTCTCTGCCATTAGGCCAGTGGAGGTCTGCAGTTCTGGTTGTCCTTCTGGAAATTTGTATCATCTCTACAAGGATCTCTGAAGCTCGGGGTGACTATCAGGACCCCTGTCTCACTGAGACTCTTCTAGTCAGGTCAGGCGTTTAGAAAACTCCTGGTTGTACCAAACTTCTTCCAGCTGAGATTTATGGAAGTCACTGAGCTCTTCAGTGCCGGAGAAATCTCTTACAGCCTTCCCCAGATCTGTCTGTTCCTTTGACCTCATGGTTTGATTTTTGCTCTGATGTGTTTTCAACACAAGGGTCTTTTATAGAGAGATGTGGGGTTTTCCAAATCACGTCCAATTAATTTAAATGAGCAAACATGAACCTCAGTCGAGCGATCAAGAGCTAAATTTCAAGTGTTGCATGTGGTTTGAATATTTATGTAATTGTGAAATTTCTGTTTTTTCTTCATTTTAATACAATCACAAAATGTGTAACTGATAATAACAAGGAATGATTTTTAACAACAGCAACATTAGGATAGAACATAACAAAACTGGTATAAGTGAAGTGTGTCTGAATACTTTCTGAAACTACTGTGTACTGTACACAGTACTGTAATACTGACCATTTGTAGAATGTCTTCAATCCTCAGCAGAGTGTCATCCTGATCTTCCAGAGAAAGGGCACTGGAGAGCAGAACAGACTGTTACGCTGCAGACCATCACAAGGTATTATTTTGTAGACTGAGAAAATATAAAACCAGAACATCTTGCTCCCAATCATTTTCAAGAAAATGTTTTATTACCGTGCAGGTTCAGTCTGAGCTCCTGTAGCACACATTTACCAGCAAGAGCTCGTGGATGTTTCGACGTGTACCTTAAAAGGTTGGTTGCTGCTTTCCTCTCTTGGGACAGCAGGTCGGGGTCTCGCAGCACCTCCTCCAGGAGGCAAATAACCCCCGTCTTTAGCTCACCATTCATCTCAAAATCCTGGTGAAGAAAAACAGTTTTACACATTTGAGAGTCTGCAGCCAGATTGAAGAAACAACCAGAGGACACGTAGATAAATCTGTTTTAACCATTAAAATCTGTTAATTCATGAGTTATTTGACTTGTTTTTAAACAACTGATTATTTTTTTGTTCTCTAACTAAACTGAGTGGATTTTTTTTGCACAGACAGCTCAAAGTGCGCCCCTTTCGTGCTAAACAAAGTAAATTTCACAGCAAAGATAATTAAACTTCTAATGAGATACAAGGGGGTACACCTGTTGCAATAAACAAATCAATTAATCACATGTTAAATGAAACTGAGGTAAATTATAAACAATTATTGTCAAATTTCAAACAATATTATCGTTAATCGCAATAATTTCTGAGACAATTAATCGCCCAGCAGGTGACAAAAACAAAATGCAATAGAAAAATCCAAACATATGCCTGTTTAAATATTTATTTTACCTGAAGCCATAAAAGGCAGGTCACAATGTATGTGCCTGTGTTTGTTTGTTAGCAAAACATCTCATGCATCACACCACTTTTAATGAAAATCTACAACTGATTATTTTTAGTGACAACTTGATTCAAGATGGCTGCCGCTTCTAATCAACACAAAATCACCTATAACTCAATCAGTTCGACAAATATGGAGCTCAAGACTGGTGTGGTGGTAGCTGAGAGTCAGCCCCAACACACTCTAACAGATCTTGGTTTAAAATCTTAACATTCAAGGTGATGTGCTCCCTCAAGAAATGCTCATTTTATTACTGAAGAAAATAAATGTTTAACTTGTAAACACTGGTCTGCAGTGTTTGACAATAATCTAATACTTTTTACACTTATTATTGTTTTGTGTTTATACATGTAGTATAACGTAACAGTTTAGACATATACTGACTTTGTGCTACAAACTGATCAAACAGATTAATTGTGATGTAATTCAGTTCAATTCCGTTTATTTATATAGTGCCAAGTCACAACAGAAGTCACCTCAGGGCACTGATTATTGAATAATTTCATTCATAAATGAAAGCATCTTTCTTTGAAATAAATCTTGATCAGTCTGTTAGCGCTCGCTATGTGTGTTGAGGATGACTCTCAGCTACCACCTCATCAAATGGTAGCTCAATATCTCCAAAAGATAATCAGTTCTCTATTATTTTCAGGAAGTTTCATAAAAAAATCAACTACTGGCTCGCGATATTTTGCAAACAGACATTGATAAATGAATCTTTCATTGCGACAGTAAAAAAATAATAAAACTCTTTGCAAAAAATGTACTTTAATGTGTTGGTTTTTTAAAACCAACGTGATATTTTACACCCATCAACCAGAGCCACAGTTTGTCACAGGCCCAAACCCCAGGTTTATTTTCAGACAACAACAAAGATGGCACCTTATATAATCTTAAATAATAATGATGGTTCTCTCGGACTCCTCGGGGAAGAGGCTGACCTTTCTGTTTGCTTCCTGGGTGGAGGAAAGGCACGCAGTGCAAAGAGCACCTCTGTCAGGGAGAGGAATGATGGGAGAAGAGATACAAGAAAACACCAGGTTCTTTCAGGTGGGCTCGACAAGGGTGGGGGTCCTGTCTCCTCCAACCTGAAGTGTCAACTCTCAGATCAACACGAGTAACAACTCCCTGTACAGCCTCTAGTTTTATTAATGCTCCAGCTATATGTGGGACAGAACCCTCTTAAGCCCCAGGTTCAGGGGCTAACTTTCTATATTCCTTATTTTGCTAATTGGAATAATCACCATTATCTCTGAACAAAACAGGCAAACACATTTTATAGATTACCATAAATGTGAAAAAAGAAAAAAAACTTGTGCAGGTAAAAAATAAAATTATACTAACTAGAGGAATTGCATTTCCTGAAAAAATGGGGAGCAGATGGTGGGGGTTAAGGGCCTTGCTCAAGGGCCCAGAGTGGGGCAAATGAGGGTGGGGGTAGGTGTGGGTGCTTCACCTTCACCTATCCTACCCACATTTTTGATGTTGTCAGTACCAAAAGTTGAACTGGCGATCTTCAATTCAACTCAATTCAATTCAATTCAATTCAATTCAAAAATACTTTATTAATTCCAGAGGGAAATTAAACGTTGTTGTAACTCATCATCCTGGTTTCATTAAAGAGTTGTTCTAGATGCTGGTGGCTGTGGGCAGGAATGATCTCTTGTAGCGGTCTGTCCTACAACGGGTCTGAAGAAGCCTCTGACTGAAGACACTTTGTTGTTGTATGACAGTCTGATGAAGAGGATGCTGAGGGTTGTCTATAATGTTCTTCATTTTATGAAGAATCCTTCTTTGAACAATCATCTCCAAAGGTTCTAGAGGAGTCCCCAGAACTGAGCCAGCCTTCTTTATGAGCTTGTTGATCTTTTTTAAGTCACTTGCTCTGGTGCTGCTCCCCCAGCAGATGATGGCAGAAGAGATAGCACTCTCTACAACAGACTTATAGAAGATATGCAGCATCTTGCTGCAAACATTGAAGGACTTCATCTTCCTCAAGAAGAACAGTCTGCTCTGTCCCTTCTTGTAGACAACTTCATTGTTGCATTTCCAGTCCAGTCTATTGTCCAGGTGAACCCCAAGGTATTTATACTTCTCCACCACCTCCACTTCTTCTCCCATGATGAAAATAGTGTTGGACCTGTTCCTGATTCTCCTGAAATCTACAATCATCTCTTTTGTTTTGTTCACATTCAAGATGAGATGATTGTTTCCACACTATGCCACAAAGTGGTCCACCAGTTCCCTGTACTCAGCTTCTTGTCCATCTCTGATACACCCGACCACTGCAGAGTCATCTGAATATTTCTGCAGATGACAGGAGTCTGTTTTGTACTGGAAATCTGAGGTGTACAGAGTGAAAAGGAATGGTGAAAGTACAGTCCCCTGTGGTGCTCCTGAGCTACTTACCACCTGGTCGGACACACAACCCTTCAGTCTCACAAACTGTGGTCTGCTTGTCAGGTAGTCTTTGATCCAGGCGATTGTTGAGGCCTCCACCTGAGTCTTCTGAAGTTTCTGACAAAGCAAATCAGGCTGGATTGTGTTAAATGCACTGGAGAAATCAAAGAACATGACTCTCACAGTGCTGTCTGACTTTTCTAGATGACAGTGAGTTTGCTGAAGCAGGTGTATGATGGCATCTTCAACTCCAAGTCCACGCTCATAAGCAAACTGCAATGGGTCCTGATATGTGCTTGTTTGTCTAGTCAGGTGGGTCAGCAGAAGTCTCTCTAGGACCTTCATGATGTGGGATGTCAGGGAAACAGGTCTATAGTCACTGGGGACTGATGGGTGAGTTTTCTTTGGCACTGGAATAAGACAGGATGTTTTCCACAACACTGGAACCTTCTCCTGGGTCAGGCTAAGGTTGAAGAGGTTCTGCAGAACCCCACAGAGCTGCTCTGCACATACCTTCAGGACTCTGGGACTGACACCATCTGGACCTGCAGCCTTATTCCGGTTCAGTCTCTCCAGCTGCTTCCTCACCTGACTTCTGGAGACGCAGAGGGGGGAGGCAAAGGAGATATCAGCATCTTCTGATTTGGTTGAAGACCAATATGTAGAAGAAGGGTCCATGACTGAGGTGGTAGATACAATATTTGAGGTGTGACAGGACAGCCTTGGGTCAATGGAGGGTGGTATGTATGTTTGGCTGTGGGCAAGAGAGGAGGATGCTGAGCTTGTTCCTGAACTGAACCTATTGAAGAATGTGTTCAGTTCGTTGGCTCTGTCCAGGCTTCCATCCATCTGATCCTCCTTCTGCTTGAAGCCTGTGATCTGTTTCATCCCTGACCACACCTCTCTGATATTGTTCTGTTGGAGCTTGCTCTCCAGCTTCTTCTTGTACACCTCCTTGATGTTTCTTATCTTGACTTTTAGTTGCTTCTGTGTGCTCCTCAATAATTCCCTGTCTCCGTCCCTGAAGGCTCTTTTTTTCTGGTTTAGCAGTTCCTTCAGGTCAGTGGTAATCCAGGGTTTGTTATTGGGGAAGCATCTCACTGTTCTGGTGGGGATGGTGTACAAGCCTTACAATCACAGGCCCACCTTCTCTAACCTCTGCGCCACCACTCCCGAGCTAAAATTAGCTAAAAAATGTGGAATTAGCTGAAAAAGCTAAAATTAGCCTAAAACAGCTATATAGTAGTTGAAACAGCAGAAAAAGCTGAAACTTGCAGAAATAAGCTGAAAGCAGGAAAAGCTGAAAACTGAAAAAGCTGAACTTTGTAGAAATAAGCTGAAAGGAGCATAACAAGATGAAACTGGCAAAAAAATGTTGGAAGAAGCACAAAAATGTTGTAGTTAGCAGAAAGAATCTGAAAGAAGCACAAAACAGCTGGAAAAACAGCTGATATTAGCTGAAAGTTGCTGAAAAATTTTGTAAAATTTGCACAAGGAAGCTGAAAGAAGCTGAACTGGAACAAAATGTGAAAGGAGCAGTAAAAGATTGTAAACAGGTCTAAAGATTTGAAGGATGTAAAATGACCATTTCAAATAATTTTCTATGAGAAAAAGTGGCAGAAAAGGCTAAATATTTCAAAAATCTAAAGTTGCACCAATACCAAAAGTCACAGCAGGATTGTCCTGAACGAGCTGAATGTTTTGATATGATTTGTTGAAATAGCACAAAAACTGTGGGACGAGAATTGTACCTAAAATTATACCGAAAAAAAAACAAAACGAATCACAATAGTGTGAATGCTTCATAAACATTCACAGTATTACACAATAATATAGAACTAAATATAACTTCATCTGGGCAGCAGGACAAAAGCACAAAGCATGATTTTAACCAGAGGACAGCTAAAAAAAGCTCACAGGGGATTCTTCAGTGCTTGTGAACTCACCTGGGAGTGTTTAGAAACCCAGTGTCGCAACACATTCAGAACTCTGTTGGTGGCGGCTCGGCGGATGATGAATTCTTTGTCACAAGCTCTCTCAGCATTACTAAAACCTAGAAGGATGAAAGAAATCCAGGAGTCAGGAGAGACCCTGCTGTTTGTGAACGTGTGAGTTTGGCTCACAGTCACTGTCAGACTTGCACAACTTGCCAAACGTACGGTGACCAAAAAAAGACTCAGTTCACTACAGATGCAAAAATGATAACCTTCTTCCTGTTTTGATCCAAATAAATAAATAAAATCTGTGAAATCCTGTCAGCAGCTGTGACAAACAACTGTTACATTTAAAACTGACAGAGAAAAAGCTCATATTTAGTCTGAAGAATAAAAGTTTTATTGTCAAAACTTTTGATTTTTAAAAGATGATGTGGTCATTTTTTAAATACAATTTAGGAAAAATACTATAAATATTTAGTATCGTTTTTAGCTGTAACATCAGTCACAAAACACAAAGTATGAAGAAATTTAGGTTAGACTAAGGTAAACGGGATTTTTTTTAGGTTTATAAAACAACTCTTTCTATGTATGTATGTATGTAAAAAAAAAAAAAATCTGTATGCCTTTTTATAACTGTCTATTGTTGCTGTTGTCCACTGTTGTCATCTTTCTTTGTTGAAATCAGGTCTCTCTTGTAAATGAGTCCTCGGGGCTCAGTAGGATTTACCTGTCTAAATAAAGGTTGAATGAAAAAAAAACAACTCTTTCTATGTCAGACGTGTGGGAAAGAACGCTACATTAAAATGAAACTTCTTTTACTGATCACTTTAGACTAACTCTTAAAGCTCAGATGAAACTGCAGCTCTTCTCGTTCTCTTCACTGACGACCATTTAATGCTAAATTGATTGACAGCAAAGCCAAAGCTCCCTCCCTGCGTGCGTTTTGACCTTCACGACTGAACGTGCCCACCCTGCGAGCTGCCGTGCCCGGCGGCAGCTGTGGCGATGGCGAACGCCGACGCAGGCGACATGGCGCAGCGAGAGTTCTCCCCCGATGTGACTGCAAGAAACCAGAGGCTGCTCAGTCTGTTGTGTGTGACGTGTGCGTCCATGATCGTTTGTGCATTTCTTACCTCCTGCCTGTCTGTATCGAAGATGCCTCGGCGTGGACGGGGAGCGGCAGGGAGACAAATCGCCCAGCTCGCTGCTGGATGGTGATTCAGGAATAAACTTGTCCAGAGATACAGACTCCAGAACAGCTGCAAGGAGAGAAAGGCCTCAAGTCAAACAAGCACCCAGAAAACAAGGAAAACTGAGGATATGTCAGGTTTCTGTTTTTGTTGAGACGTTTCGTCCTTCATCCAAAGGACTTCATCAGTCCAAGGAGCCACAACAAACTGCGTCCCACGAGCAGCACACACACATAGTGGGTGATCCAGGATTATTGAGCATGAACTTTGATGTTTTGAACCACTTTGGCTATGGCTGCTTCCGACAAGTTGACGGGGGAGAGGGAGGGCCCCAGAAACCATCTTATCACTCACAAGCTGGTTGGCCCACTATGTGAACGTGCTGCTTGTAAGACTCAGTTTGTTGTGGCTTCTTGGACTGATGAAGTCCTTTGGATGAAAGAGGAAACATCTCAACAAAAAAAGAAACCCTCCAGAGGACCTGACTGAACTTTATTGGATTTTTTTACATGGATTATTGAGAATGAACTTTGATCAGGTTATGTTAGGTTTTCTTGTCCTAAAGCCCACAAATTCCTAAAACAAATGGATCGGCATCTTGTCTGCCTTCTGATCACAAAAAAACAGAAAAAATGTAAGTTGGCTTATGGATGGATAAACTTTATTGTATATACTAAATTTTCCTGCATATAAGTTGCAGTTTTTTTACATAGATTTGTCAGTCCTGCGACTTATACCCCGAAGCGACATATACTTTTTTCCCCATATTCCTAATGCAATTTTTGACTGACACTTTCAATTTCTAAGAATTGCAACGGCGAGTCCTCCCGTGCATGCTCGCTTCACTCAGCTGGTGCAAGCGGAGGAACGCTGGAGAGCTAGCGGTTCCGGCCGCGATGGATGGATGGATGGCACCACGCCACCCAGGCGAACTGAAGCTGTTTAGACCATTAAATAAACGCATAATAAACGCAACAGGTCAGCGGTGACGCAAAATAAATGCGACTTATAGTCCAGAGCGACTTATACGCCAAAAAATACGGTACTTAAAATGTCTAAAAATCCACACAGTACATCAGGTCTTGCCTTCTTACTTTTTTCTTTTGGCTGTTCCCTTCTTCAGGGGTCAGTAAGTGAACTTGCACAATGATTTGGTAATTTATTTTACACCGGATGCCCTTCCTGACACAACCACAGACCATCTAGGGTGCCCGGAGGAGCAGATGCGGGTATGAGGGTACCTCACCTTTTCTACCCACATTTTGAAGTAACAGTCAACAGGGGATTTGAACCAGAGACTTTCCAATTACAGGTTCAGTTCTCTAACCTCTGCGCCACCACCTTCCTGTCTTTCTTATAATCAAGGTAAAAATAAATCCGCCAGTCTTTCAGTTCTAAGGTTTTACATATCAGGACATAATAATAATATTTTTCATCTTTACCAAAAGCTCTAAAACTATTTAAATCTAAGCTAAAGTTAAAAAAAAATCTACAAGAGATTCCACCACATCATTAATTACTGAACAAACAAGATGCCAAATTTAAACGTGTGTAAAAACAAAGTCCATCGTTGCTGCTTTTATGAGATTTAAGAGGAAAAGTGTCTGCCAGGTGCTGCTAATCAAATACACCTGATTATCTGAGCATCCTCAGTGCTGCCACGCTTCTCAAAGCTGCCTCTCTGCTGCAGTGTGTGTTAACACAATGCCAAGGTGGAAAGACCCCTGCAATGAGCTCAAAGAAGAAAACCATTTAAGGCAGCTGCTAATCTTTGCAGGAGTGGATGCTCCCAAGTCAGACCACGCAAGTTCCATCTGAATGAACCACAAGACTTCTGGAGTGATGTCTTTTAGACAGAAGGGAGCCAAACGAACTGCACAGTTTGAAGAACAAACAAACAGCACAAACACCTCATGTCAACTGTAAAGCACAGCGGTAGAGGGCTGATGTTTGGGCTTGTTTTGCAGCCCAGGACCGGCACACTTCACAGTCTTTGAGTCAACCACAAACTCCTCTGCTGACCAAAGGATTCAAGAGTTAACCATGAGACCTTCTGTCCTACAGCTGATGCTTGACCCAAACTGGGCCATAATGCAACATTCCAAACACAGCAGCAAATCTACAACAGAACAGCTGAAAAGCAGGAGAATCAAGGTCCTGCAATGGTCCAGTCAAAGTCCAGACCTCAACCAGATTGAAATACTGTGATGGGACTTTAATGCAGCTATGCAGAAACTAACGTCTGCAAACCTTTATGGGCTGAAGCAATGTTGTGAAGAAGAGTGGGCCAAAATCCTTCGTCAACCATGTGACAAACTGATAAAATCATGACTCCTGAGAGTTACTGCTGCTGAAGGAGGTTCTGCAAGCTGTTAAAACAGGGTGGGCATATGTTTTTGCATTTATGTTTCTAATTTGGCTTCATTGTTGAATAAATAAAGACATGGTGGAATTTGTTCTTTGTATTTGTATACTTGAGGCTACATCTGAGTATGTTTAGAACCTGGTAAAGACATTTATTATGTGCTGCAATGTGACACTCTAGATTTGCAATGGAGTGGACTTTTTTCTTTACAATGACTTTGTAATAAGCATGTTATAAAAAATAATGTGCAAATCAAGTGCTCTCTATTTAACTCATTCAGTTTAGTTGTTTGTTTTTCCTCTGAAAGAACTCCAGCTGCCACTCAAGAGTCTCTATCTTGATTTCCTCTCTAATCTGCTGACAGTAATTTTCTGACCTGGCACTCTGCTGTTAAATTTATACAAAACAAAATTCATGCTGCAGTCAGATGCTGTTTTCAAAGCTTCATTTTTCAGTTTTTGTCTTTTAGACAGTTCAGGTTCATAAAACGGTATCAAGGACAAGCCAAAATCTGATGTGATGTTTGTAGATAATAAATCATGCTTGCAACTTTAAGGTTGTTTCAGAAGAACATGCCACAAATGTTGCAGCTAAATTTTGAATTTAAAGGATAATCTATTACTAGCAGCCAACTCTGATCAAAAATACTTTATTAATCCCAAAGGGAAAATAAATGTTGTTGTAACTCGTCATCCTTGTTTCATTAAGCGTTGTTATAGATACTGATGCTGTAGGCAGGAAGGATCTCTTGTAAAGGTCCGTCCCACAGTGGATCCAAAGAAAGTGGCCGCAGATGCCGTCCGGTCTGTCCACCAAGACTCGGCTAGCCTCTCTGTTCCCCCAGGCTGCAGGACCGCCCGAATGCTGGGCTGAATTCCTCCCAGAGCGATGGCCACTCCTCCCAGCAGCCTGCTGAGCTCCTCGTTGCTGCGGACAGCCGACTGAAGATGCCAGGGGACAATCCTGACCTTCTGCTGTCACAACCGTGTTTCCTGCTAGTTCCAGGACCTCAGTGCTCAGGCACTTGAGCACAGCTGGCAAGTAGAAGGGAATGCATCCACGATGCCTTCTTTTCAACTCATTTGAGATTTGGGGCTGTAGTTGAGATACTATTTGAGCATTTGAGGTGTTAATCAGCTGCTCCCAGTTGTAAAAAAAAAACCACCTCGTTGTTATGGTTACGGATCATAACAAAAGTCCAAAACTAAAAAAAGGTTTCAGTAAAAATCCTTCCAGCTGCACAGACTCTGATACCAGAGAAAACAGTCATAAAAAAAATCTGATTTACATCCATCAAAAGAGGAATTAAAGTTTCCAAAAGTAAAATGTCAGCATGAATGTAACAGATCTACTCCAACAGGCAGCCACCCCGAGCAGCGCAATTCTAGAACATACAATTCTGAAGCATCAGAGTGCATGTGGGCTCATGTGGGACAGGAAGGATCCAGCTACTTACCCCTGCGAAAGCTGCGCCGCAGCTTCCCACAGAAGGCATCAAGGCGAGGTAGCTCTCCAGTGACATCCTCCCCCGCAGCTGGACTCAGCTCTGGAGAGATGGGACCACGACTGAGGTCCAGCGGGGCCTTGGTGGAGAGCGGAGGCAGCGAGGACACTCCAGAGACCTGTGGGAAGCTGGGAAAGGATGTGGCGGTGGGCGGAGGGGAGGAGAAGCCAGACATAGGCTTGGATAAGCTGGGAGGAGGAGAGGAAATGGAAGGACTATGACTGGAGGTAGGAGAGTTGGCTGCGGAGGAGGAGGGCGTCGTGGACAGATCTAGAGCTCCCACTTTCAGGCTGATGGGGGAACTGAGGGAGAGCTTGCGGCAGTGCATCGGGGAGGAGGTGCAGGAAGGGATGGTAATGGGAGGAGGGGATGAAAACTTGCGGCAGAGCCTCGGAGATTTGTTGTTCAGCGGGTCGTTACCCCAGGTGCCCTGATTAGTGGCGAAGAAGAGCTCCAAAGACCTGAAAGAAATTAGTGGATTTATTCTGCAGCTCTGTTGAGGACAGCAGGAACAGATTACCAGTCCAACTGGTCATATTTACTTGGACTGGTCCAGAGCAAGCTGTGTGATCTTGAGACTGTAGTCAGGACACAGGGACATGATGGAGAGTCGGTCATATGAGTGCTGCTCAATGCTGCAGCAGTGACAGGAATGCAGGGAAGATGAATAATGAGAAAAGATAGAATGAGGGATGAACTGTTTAATGTGAGGAGAGTGAAAAGACAATAAGGATGGATCAACATGATGATGCCTACAGTCTGGTTCAGGAGCATCGACAAACAATGCACCCTCAGCTCCGAGTACCTCACAGGGATGGACGTGAACGGTTTCTTGTAGATGTCAGCCAGCTTGTCGATGACCACGGCGGCAGTGGTGAAGATCCTGTAAGTGTGGAGGAAGGTGTTGAGAAAGTCTATGGAGAGGAAGCGCAAGTCTGTCAGCCGCTCCAGCAGACGCTCCACGCTGGCATATCGGATCTGTGGCACCTTGCAGGAATTGAGTGTCTTGCTGAAGCAAATGTCCACGTCGTCTTTATGCAGCCGGGCATCAGACCTTTTGCAGAAAAGCACCACAATTAAACTTATTTTGCTTATTCTAAAAGATATGGCTGAAAATATTTAGTTTTTCCATTTAAAACACTAAAACTAAACACTAGCATCTGTACTATGACTGAAAATGAGCTGCACTCATCTCAGTTTCCTTCTCACTGCATTAATATTAAAACAGAAAACTGTAGTTTTTACACAAAAAGTGTTTCAAGTTGAATCATGTATACAAACAAAACGCATATACATTCTTTTGTTTCAAAGAACAGGCATTTAGGGCCAAACGTATTTTCTCTGTACACAAGACAGGCCCAGACTTATCAAAAATTGCACATCTTTTTGAGGTTCAATTTAGCATATATGTTAATTTCTTGAAAGCTTCTGCAAAGGGAGATTTGCACCTCAAACTCTGCTGTCAATCTGACAGTTTCTGTCTGTACTGGTTCACTTTCTCTATGCTTTGGTGTTAACCCACTCACATTTATATAAATAATGGCCAGGGCAAAAAGCTCCTGATTCTAAGAGCTCAGTGCTTTTTGCAAAACAGATTTTGCATAAAATTATTATTATCTCCTGTGATCTGGTGGGATTTACGTCTCAGGATGAAACAGGAAGAGGAACTATGTGCAGCACTGTTGCCCTATAATAACGAGCCAGCATGTTGGAAAAGGTTTGACTCATCTCTCCTACCAGTGGTAATTTTCTGACATTGTTGCACCTACTTTTTTTTTTTTCAAATGATACATCTGGAATAAATCTAAATATACAGAAAAGGTAACAGAAAGTGCTTCACATCAGGAAATTAACAGAACCGCCAAGTGAAAATTATGCAGTAAATCAAAAAATCTATTCAGTATATTGAGACAAACAGAATTTGGTGCAAATGATGAACACAAAATTAATCAAAAACCAGCCACTACACTTTCTTAGTTTGCTGCATTAGTCTAGACCTTTGACTTTGTCCACCTCACCATTATGTTTTGTTTATTTGACAATTAAAGCAGTTTTGGGGACTAAAGCTGTTCAATGCAATTTTTGCAACGGAAATATTTTATGTGGTAGTTGCTTAATTTCCCCACCAATCCTAAGGTCACTAAAAGTCAAAACCGGCTACCTCGGTTATGAATTTTTGCATAAATTATCGTAAATAATAATAATAATGTTATGTGTTGTCATCATTGCATGTTCCCATGCAATGGCGAAATTGGCTCTCTGCATTTGTCCCATCCACCCCCAGGTGGTAGATGTGTCATTTCTAACCTAAACCTGGAGCCCGTCCCTGCCCAACCCAGATTCGGACCAGGCTGGGACATAATAATGTGCTTAATGTGCTGGCCAGGTTGGTGTTGGGCTTTTTATTGCATCAGGGATGTGAGCGGCCAACGATCCAATATATGCAAACATGGCTTGCCAAACTTCACCTAGCACACGTGGCCAATTGACCAAGCGCTGACCAGTCGGTTGAAAGAGGTAAAAAGTTCAGTTAAGTTTCAGAAGGACTACTGCCAGTGATCCATCCATCCATCCATTATCTTTACCCGTTTATTCAATTTTGGGTCACGGGGGTCGCCGGTGCCCTTGTCCAGCAATCACTGTGCGAGGGGCGGGGTACTCCCTGGACAGGTTGCAAGTCCATCACAGGGTGCCAGTGATCCATCAGCCCAAATGAACATTCATTCAGCCGCTGCACTCAAAGGACACGCGCGGCCGACGACCCAAACAGGTGAGATCACAAAATATCCGACATGTCAGAGCAGCGTTCAATGCAGGCAGAAGCAGGAGAAGCAGTAAATGCACTTTGACGGCTCCGCAGCTCCGATCTTCTGCCCCCTCAGCCACGCGCGTCCTCCAACCATTAATAATAGTTGGTGGTATAAGCAGTCAAAGCTTAATTAAAAATGTCGGGGTGTGGGAGTTTTGGGTTCGGACCTGTAATTACTGTTAATACGTCGGATCGGGTGGGGTTCGGAGATGATGGCTGCGGGCTGGGGCAGGGTCGTTTCGGATTATTTAGACACAAGTGCAACTCTACCGGGTGCTGCGGTGGGTGGATATTGGGGGCAACTATTGGGGTACCCGGGGGGGGGGGGGGGGCGATTGGGGATGGGGTGTACTGCTCAGAGACACCACGAGGTGTGCAATGACTGGGGATCTAGCCTGGGACTTTCGGGTCGCAAGTCAGCTGCACTGCCTCTACACCATCTCGCCCCCCCAAGTTCTAAAAGTCAATGTTTAACAACAATTAGACATTTATTATTAAGTTTGAACTTCTATTGCCATCTGATTATTACGCTTTCATACAACCTTTATTTAGACAGGTAAATCCCATTGAGCCTCAATGACTCATTTACAAGAGAGACCTGATTTCAACAAAGAACGATGACAACAATGGACAACAGCGACAACAATAGACTGTTATAAAAAGTCATATTATTTTCAGGTCTCTCTTGTAAATGAGTCCTTAAGGCTCAGTGGGATTAACCTGTATAAATAAAGGTTGAATGAATGAATGATTGTTCTAATACATCAACATTATCATAAATCCAACTGGCATCTTTTCTTACTTGATCATGTGTGGCACAGAGACTTTAGAGTTTTCCTCAAACACGCTGGTCATGAGGCCATTACAGCGGATGTTATCAATGCACTGAAACAAAAAGGAAAGGAGCATGAGAGCTAGGCACAGAGAGAGAGGCTCACGTTCTTAATTGCAGCTCTGAACTCCCACCTGGCTGATGTCGCTGGTCCAGGCAGCTTTCTCTTGGCGGGAAGGAGCTAAGAGGACAACGGAGAAGTTCTGACCATCAGGAGGCTCCACCACAATCTTAAACTCCAGGTGACTGAAGCCTTGACCTGCAGCGTTGTCTGCAAAGCAACAGAAAACAACAAAGTAAAAACTTCACTGTTGCAGAGTTGATGAGGATAGAGATTTAATGATACAGTTAAAGGACTATAGAACTAAAGAAAGACAGTAGAGATACTCACAGTCTTCATCATTAGCATCCAGTTCTTCAATGAGCGTGCACTCGATCAGAGACAAAGTTCCTCCCTGCTGTTGTGAAAATAAAGATAACATGCAGTTCATTTGTGTGAGTTTATGATAGTCTCTAAATTTACAAGAGAAATGTTCAAAATCCAGAAAAACATGACAAAGACAAAGTTTACATCTTGTGTCAAACTCAAGGTCCACAGGCCAAATGTAACTCTTGTTACATGTGTTTAGTGCCAAACATGTACTGTCTCCAGAGAGATGTTTGTATTTGCATCTCAGGAAAAATAACAAAAGGAGAGTGGCTATCAGCTGCATCGTTGCCTTTACAAAAATATGGCAGGAATGTCTGAAAAAGCACAATTAACCCTCAGTCCCAGAGATGAGGGACAAACGTTTCTTTTAAATATAGACCATCAATAAAGTGCATAAAATCATGTTGTTGTTTTACATTCAGAATTCATTCAACCTTTATTTAGACAGGTAATCCCATTGAGCCTCGAGGACTCATTTACAAGAGAGACCTGATTTCAACAAAGAATGATGACAACAATGGACAACAGCGATAACAATAAAAAGTTATAAAAAGGCATACAATTTATTATTATTTTTTTTTACAAATAGGAAGGCTAAAAAAAAGAAAAGTAATAAAAAACAGCTAGATTCTAAGGCGAATGTAGAAAACTAAAAACAGGAACATGTCTGCATTGGTCCCTGCCAGGAGTCCAACAGATTCTTAAAGCCACTTAGAGAGGTCAAGGTCGAGAGCTTCAAATCTTTTTGTAAGATATTCCAGGAAACAGGAGCGGAGTAGGAGAAGACCATTTTGCCAAGTTCAGTCCTCATTGAGGGAACACTGTAGATAATAATGTCCTGAGAGCGCACGCTGTAGCTGCACTCACGCAGAGACATGAAGGAGGAGATGTATGAAGGCAACAGACCAAGAAGTGATTTAAAGATGTAGTGTGACAAGGGCCAGGTGCCGAGTTCACTACAAAGATGAAAATGTACCAGTGAAGTCTGCATGATGTTAATGATGTCCAGTTAACCTGTGAATACAGGGTGCAGTGATGGATACGATAATCACAGCCATAAATAATGTCACTGTAATCAATGGAGGGAAGGAAGGTCACAGAAACAAGGCGTTTCCTAGCATTCAGGGTTAGACAGGATCTGTTTCTGAAAAAGAAACCCAGTTTAACTTTCAGTTTCTTTACCAAGTTTTCCACATGGAGCTTAAAAGAGAGATGCAAGTCAACCAAGATACCCAAATATTTATAGGAATCAACAAACTCAATCGGGACACCATTTGAGGATGAAATCAGAGGAAGAACTGCTGGTACCAACTTCCTGTTTGAAAAAAAAACATCCCTTTGGTTTTGTCGGCGTTTAAGGACAAGTTTGAGGCGGAACAAATCAGACTGGATGATCTTGAATGTAGATTTCAAAAGCTGGAAAGCCTTAGCAACAGTTTTAGCTCGACAATAAACAACAGTTTCATCAGCATAGAAACATATAGATGCATCAGGGATGTTTTTACCTACATTACGTATGTAGATTGTAAAGAGGATGAGTCCTAAGACTGAGCCTTGTGGTACACCATTGTTGACTGTTAAATAACTGGAGAAAGTACCATTATGTTGAACACATTGCCTCTGGTCTGAGAGATAGTTAGAGAACCAGCCAATGGTGTGATCTGAGAAACCGATTTCTGAGAGTTTATGACACAAGATGTTCTGATCCACAGTGTCAAAAGCTTTAGACAGGTCTAAGAAAAGTGCAGCACAATAATCCTTAGCATCCAGTGCTTCAACAACGTCATTAAGAACCTTCAGTGAAGCAGTGGTTGTGCTGTGTTGTTTCTTGAAACCAGATTGATGTGGAGGTAAGATGTTAAATGAGTCCAGGTAATTTTTGATTTGAGAGTTTATCAGTTTTTCTAGAACCTTGGCTAAAATGCAGAGTTTAGAGATTGGTCGATAGTTGTTCAGTGAGGTGGGGTCTCCTCCCTTCAGCAAAGGAAGAACAAAGGCTGTTTTCCAAGCGTCTGGGATGGAGTTTTGTCGTATGGAGAGATTGAAGATGTGGGTCACAGGGACTGTGATGATATGAGCAGCCAGCCTTAAGAAATAAGGTGGAAGTTCATCAGAATATTTAACCCTTATGAATATAGAATATTTAAGCAGATATCACTTCACACTCAGAGGTTACCAAACAGAACCTAAAGGGTTTATTTTGTGGAATAAATACTGAAAGATCCCTTGCACCATCAGCTCAGTGGCAGAGAGGTCAAGCAGGGGTCCGACCCTAAACTTCTACAAAAAGAGAACAACCTTAGATCTAAAATAGAAATTAATGACCTATTTTTGTATTATACAAGTGAAAATAAAATACTGCAGAGATGGTCTACAAAACACAACATCACTTATTGATTCAGAAATGCCTTCCTGAACTTGATTCCTCTCTAATACAGATGTTGTTCCAGCAGTTTTAAGGAGTATCTCTGTCCTTCATCTGTTAAGACCTAGAGTTCACTGTGAAAAAACCTTTTCTTTTTCTTTCTACCACTTTTGTACTTGCTCTATTCTGTAGTGGACAGTCATACTTAGATTGTACACCAGGACGACTGTGATCTGAGAGTAAATTGTTCACACCTGCAGTGTTGGACGGTTGTGTTTACACCAGGACACCATTAACACTATTTGCTTCATACACATAATATAGTGGACTCTCGCCAGAAGCCAACTGGTGATGGACACCAGCGCCAGGATGAATCCAGGATGACAAAGGGAGTAAAGCAATTGGATAAATGAATGCTTTGTAAAAATAAATCAAAGAGCAAGTGCAAATGATGAGCAAAAAATGGAACAAAAACAGGTGCTGCATTGTCTTAGTAAATTAAAGCTAAAGTCTTAATCAGTGTATAACACCAACTAAACAAGAGTACCACATACAGCACGTTATACCTCATCAGCAAACTATTATACAGTAATACAGCAATCTATAGCAATGGCCCAGACAAGTGAAGAACTTGTATTAAAACACTTTGTTTAGTGGTGATGGATTTGTGTAAGTTTCATTAATTTTTTTGTTCATGGGTGGGACAAGAGAAAGTTTATGGACGTATGGACATACAAACAGCGATTATAATACATCCCACCTTCAAAGGCTTATATGGAAAGACATTAAGTGACTCAGATCACCCTTCATTCTCTGATTCACTAAACTATTTTTTAATTATGTCTTTTTCTTGGGAATGTGTAATATTTTGTGTTTTGTTGCAAACTGACATATTAACTAACTTATCCTTAAGAGAATTGAACTGAACTGAAAATGCCATTAATATTAATAATATGTTGTTTTTTCCTGCTGCTACATCAACCATCCTAATCTGCAAAACTTGCTGGCTCCATCCAAACAGATAAACTGTCAAGATGAAGTCTACACAATCTGTGGACAGGTGAAGCTTACCTTCAGCAGGTGAAGCTTCCCTCCAGATGTTCGTGTACAGATGAGGAAGTGTTTGGTGAAGAGAAAACACTGCCTTTCTCCTTCTTTCCTCAGCGAGAGGGAGCCCAGGCGTACTTTACTGAGCATGCCCCGCTCGCTGCTGGACGGGAGCTGGATGAGAGAGCCTGCTTATGGAGAGGAAGAGGACTAACATGGTGGAAGAGTGGAGGAAATGTGATTTGGCTGTAAAACCTGGACAGGCAGCAGCTGACCTTGTCTGACAAACGTCTGGCTCGTGTCTAACAGGATGTCGCAGCCTTCAACAATCATCCGTTCAATGGCCAGGTTCTTCCTGATGTTTTCTGTGTCGCTCACCTCGTCGTGCATCATCCTGAAAGCACAGAGATGAAATGGCCTCCGTTGTGTTTCCTGGTTTTTATAAACCTGGAACGTTTGTCTAAATTGAGTGATGTAAATACATTAAGCAGCTCCATTCATTCATAGGTGTTTCACTTTTATCCAATGGATTTGCAGGATTTGAGACATTTTTATAAGTAAATATCAAAAATAAAAGGAACTGTTTGCATTGTTAGAGCTGTTTCATACTGTTATTCATATAAACTATATTTATGTGCAGTATCAATGGCAAAATCAAATTGATTTAATATGTTTTTCTTTGCTTTGCTGCTGTTTGAGTCAGACCATTAAAACCATCCTGCTTTCAACAGAACCAGGTCGAACCGGTCCAAAGTCCTGCTCCAAATCTACCTGATCTACATCTTCAGCGTTGTTCCTCCAACATGAAAGTTTTTAAAGCTCATCACAACACTTGTTCATCCATGTTCTGTTTGGCCCTGTCCTTTGTGCTGCTGTCGTATAAATATTTAACACTACAGCAGACAGAAGTTTAAATTGTAGGTAAATTTATCTGCTAAGAGACTAAAATAGGATTTGATTCATTTATTCTCAGCAGTCAGGACTGAAACATTCTTTACAGTAGTTTTAGTTTTTAGCTCATTCCCAGGTAAGAACATTAGCATGATTTTTTTTTTACATAGATTTTACATATTTTAGTTTTTTCTTTTGTATATTCTGTGATGCAATGCAAACTAAGGTATAGAAAGTATAAAATGGCATTTATCAACATTGCCTGATTAAAATAAAATAAAGTTTATTTTTAATCTTTTGTTGTGTTGCTGAGGCTCAGGTAATGATGAGTTATTTTCTGAGTAAACATGCAAACTATCTTGTTGAATGTGGGATTGAGCTTTTTGTTTCTATACAGCATATTGTTGTATGATTTATGTAATAGTTTAAAAATACTAAAAATGCAGAGTAAAACTTTGGGTATTTGCATTGAAACTACAGTTATTATTATTCATGTAGCAACATTATTGTATTTTATTAAAACTACTATTTCAAATAGCTGGGAAGTTGTGTTATATGTAAAAAAAATTAATACAGTGACTTGCAAATCTCATAAACCCATATTTTATTCAAAATAGAGCATAGCAAACACAAATGATTAAATAAGAAATTTTTCATTTCAAGTAAAAAATAAGGTCATTTTGAATTTTTTTGACAGGTGCAGCAAAAGGCTGTAAAAGTAAGTGGTAGGAATAAGAAACATCTGGAGAAGCATTTTGAGACAAAATAGGTTAATATGCAACAAGTGAGTAAGAAGAGTGAGTTTAAAATACCATTTTAGAGAGGCTGAATCTCTCACAAGTAAAAATAGAAAGAGTAACGGTCTGCAAAAAAACTGCATCTAAGAATATTGCAACAATTTCAGAATGTGTTCCTCACTGGAAAAAATTGGTAAGATTTTGAACATGTCATGTATGGTTAAAGACAGTGTAAAGACAAAGCTTAAAGTCAATAATGTTAGGTCTATCATACAAAGAAGAAGCCGTATGTGAACACATCCAGAAATACTGCCAGCTACTTTAAGCCAAAGTTCATAAAAAACACCTAATTTTTAGTTCATAAAAGCAGGCTTTTTAATTGAAACATTTAGTGTTTACAGTGTTCACTTATGAATAATATGGGTTTATAAAATTTGGGTTGCATTTTAAAATTTGGTCACCTCTGTCTGCCTTCCACAGTCCCTCGTTCATGAGGCCGTAACATGTCCACACTTACTTTGACAACTCCTCCAGCTTGGATTTGGCGAACTCCATGCTCTTACGCTCCACATGCTCATGAGGTGTATGTGCTAGTAGCTCGTGGAGCGTAATGATGTATCGAGGAATCTAAAAACAATACCAATAGCATTTAGACACAAACATGCACAATTAAAACTAAAAACTTTCAAAAGAAATTTTGAATGACAAACACTGCCTGAAACTTGAACATCAGCTTTCTTCTACGAAGCCCAGCGCTAATTAGGAACTAACATGAATAATAATCCAAGCGGACAAAATGCAGATGTTTAGCTGTATAAATTGTACGAGAAGTGCAAAGAACCAACATTAAAAAAAGTTTAAATTGCTGCCAGTGGCTCATTCAGACCACCCTTCTAACCACACACCTGTGTCTTACATCACATCTCATTCGGGGTTGTAGCTGCATTGATACCCTTCAGAATTATACCAGACTTTTTTGAGTTTGAAAGTAAAATAAAAAGCAAAAACCTCCCAAATAATTCAGCCATAAGTTGTCACAAACTCCACTAAGTGCATAAAAATAGAACTAATATGTGTTTCATTTGTTTATTGGTTTTTACAGTTTGGGGTACCTGGAACATTGGGTACGTCAGGAACGTTTCCAGCATGCGGCCCTCGCAGGCAGCGTTGGATTCGTACTGTTTCAGCAGCTTGTCAAAGTCTCTGTTCTGCTTACAGTTAGCCAACACCTGCAGGCTGTACTGGTGGTTCCTCACAAACTCCTGGTAGATGTTCAGCATCGGCAGCAAAATGTCAAACAGGTCCGCTGCAAGGGAAGCACACACAAACAGCTCGACCATAACCACAGAGTACAGTATACAGCACATTATACACCTGTCAACAAACTATTATACAGAAATACAGCAATCTATAGCTCTGGCCCGGACAAGCAAAGACCTTGTTTTACTTTGACCTTGACTTGTAATCTTGATCTTGAAGCTGGGCCAATGAAAAGTATGTGACACTCTGTCTAATGATGATGCATATGTGTATCATGAATATGTGTAGCGGTGGAACAAATTTGTATCAAGTTTTGTTAAATTATCTTGAGCAGATCAGGTTATGGCCCAGACAAAGAAATACCTTGTTTAAACTTTAACCTAGATTTATGACCTTGATCTTGGAGCTGGCAAGACAAAAAGTGTACATGACACTCCTTCTAGCAAAGATGCATGTGTGCATAAAGTTTAGTTAAATTATCTTGATTGGAGGTCAAATCTTGGTTGAATTTCTGGGTGGATGTTCTCTCCGTGCATGCTTGCATTTTTGCTGGTTCTGGTTTCCTCCCACAGACTAAAAACGTGCATATTAGGCTGACTGGTAACCCTGAACTGTCTCTAGGTGTGAGTGAGAGAGTGTGTATACGTGGCACTGTGATGGACTGGTGACCAGCCTCTCGCGAAGTGACTGCTAGTTAGGTACCAGTGACCCAGAAAAGATGAAGCAAATAAAAATGATGGTTGGATGGATGGATGGATGAAAGGATGGATGAATGGATGGTTGGATAGATGGATGGATGGATGGATGATGAAAGGATGGATGGATGGTTAGTTGGATGGTTGATAGATGAATGGTTGGATGGATAGATGGATGGTTAGATGGATGGGTGGTTGGATGGATGTCAGATAGATGGGTGGTCAGATGGATGGATGGATAGATGGATGGTCAAATGGATGGATGGTCTGATGGATGGATGGATAGATAGATGGATAGATGGATGGATATATGATAGATAGATGGATGGATGGATGGATGGATGGATATATGATAGATAGATAGATGGATGGATGGATGGATATATGATAGATAGATAGATGGATGGATGGATGGATGGATGGATGATGGGTCTGAAGTTATGGCCAAGAGAAAGTTTAGTTGAACCAATCAGTTTCATGTCAGTATCCAACATGAGTCCACTCATGAAAGTTGTCTGAACGTGAACATGTACATGAACAACACGTGAGCTTTCAAATGCCTCGTTTTGTAGTGAAGCTATGGAAATATAGATCTGACGATTTTCCATGTATGAGTTGATCATAACTTTTTATTATCTCTGAAATAAAAAAAAATAAAAAAACACTTTAATGTTCATTATTTCTCTCAAAAATGACTTGACAGTTAAAATACAATTTATAATAATACTGTTTCAACATGTATTTGGGATTCACTTTTAAAACATGACCAAAACGAAAAAGCTGCAGATTACTTTTTATTTTGTACCTCAGCTCTTTATGGAGGCAGCTGTTGCTTAAAAAGTTGTCAGTTCAACCTCTTGTGTTTTACATTCAATGACCTGATTGTAGTAAATGATCTAATATACGATCACTGCATTTATAACGAACTCTGCAACACTCACCCAGAACTAATGTTGGCCAGCTGGCGATCCGAGCCTTTAGCCCTTGATGGAAGATCTCATGAAGAAACATGATGGTCTCACTGAGGGCGGAGAACTGGTTTTAGTTTATTTGAAAAGGTTTAGTGAGAAAACACAGAGGTGTGTCACTTTAATAAAAAATGATTTACCTACACTAATGAAATGCTTGTATCAAACTATTGAAAGTATTTCACAGTCCTCACCAACAGAGGTAAAAGATAATAGTTAAATATAACTATTTGTAAAATGACATGAAGCTATATTAAACAGCTTAGAATTAAAAAAATAAACAGAAACATAATCTAAATTTTCTCACTTGGATGCATCAGGTCTCTACATTATCTACAGTGTATCTATTGAAATGTACTGTTAGAATAAAGGGTATAGGTTTACAATAATAATCACCCTTAATTAATGCATAATAAGCAGTTATTAATGATTTATAAAGTGTTTATATAAGAATTAATAACATATCTATTAACTATTTATTAGCCATCTATAAGGGGAGCCTTATTGTAAAGTGGTACAGAGTAAGGATTTACAATGGGTTGCCAAAGTACGCCTCCCCCCTCTCAATATGTTTTGTTGCCTTACAATCTAAAATTTAAATGCAATAATACAGATTTAAAAGTCAAATTGGGGAATGATCTTGTTTTAAGTAATTCAATAAAATATTTAAATACAAAGTCAATATTTAGTAAAACCATCTTCAAAACAATCAAAACAACAAGTCTCTTCTGGTTTGTCTCCATGAGCTTGGTACAGCTTGTCACTACCATGTATTTCCACTATTCAGGAGAAAAAAATGCTTCAGTTCCTTAAAAGTTGGATGAGGGCTGTTTCTCACTAAACCCCTGGAGTGTTGCTTTATTATGTGATTGACCTACTGGGAGGTGACCCTCTGTCCCAGTCTTAAATTTCCAGTAGACTCAAACTCACGTCCCTCAAGAATCTCTATACTTTGCACCATCCGTTCAGGTCTGACCAGTTTTCCAGTTACTGTAGATGAAAAACAACCACATAACATGATGCTACCACTACCATGTTTCGTGATGGGGATGATGAGCTCAACAGAAAAAGATGTGTAAAGTTTGTGCAAGACATTGCATTATTTTTATGAGGAATAACAATGTTTGGACTCTCATCCAACCACAGCACCTTCTTACAGGTTTGAAGAGCCTCAAATATGCTTTGAGGCACATTCCATGAGGTTTTCCTTATTTTTATTCCTTTAAGCATGGACTTTTTCCTGACGATTCTTCCATGAAGTCCAGCTCTGTGCATCTTATAGTGGGCCTATGAACACTGTTCACCTCTATAGAAGAGCTGCCCAGCTCCACCAGGGTAAGCTTTGGTTTTATAGCTGCTTCTCTGATTACTGCCCTCCTTACCTGCTCCAGGAATTTTGATGGACGACCTTCTCTTGGCACGTTTGCTGTTGTGGCATAATATTGTAGTTTAGTAACCCTGGTGATCTATGGTGTGTTCAGGGTTTTGGGTCCCTGGAGCAATGTGGCTATCCTAACTGGGCCTTCCCCATAGCAGATAATAAACCCAAACAGGACTCCAGCCAACCATCAGGTGAAAAGGAGGAACTCAGACCCAGACCAGAGGTCATTCTGTATGTTGTGGGAGTTTTAGAGAAACTGACGTTTATTTTCTAAACATAACGTCCCAGTGGCTTTTAAATCCCAAAATACATTACGGCAAAGATTGTTCATCCCAAAGATCCAGTCCCCCAGCACAAACAAGAGTAATATTGTGTATGCTGTTCTACATCGGGGAAACTAAACAGCCACTGGCCAAAAGGATGGCCCAGTACAAAAGAGCAACATCATCAGGCCAGGACTCTGCGGTCTACACTCATCTCCAGACCAGCTATCACTCTTTCAGGGATGAAGATGTTCACATCCTGGATAGTGTTGGATTTCATATTTTTATACCTTTTTATATTTCCTATCAAGCATTCAAATGTCATGTTATACAAAGTGTGTGTGTCTTTCTTCCAGGGTTGCAGTATATTTATAGAAAATGTCTGCTAATTCTAACTAGTTGACCTTTAAATATAATCTCATATTAGCTAAGGATAATTTTACAAGTTCACATTTGATATATTACAAGCAATCAAATCATGCCAGATAGCAGACTGATTAACATAAATAAAGCTAGAACACATTTCTTTAATTTAGACAATATAGTTTGACTAAATAAAATCCCTCAGGATCTCTCTTAATAATAACCATTAACATTTAATCATTGTTGAATACAGGGTCGGTTTAGCTGAGAGGACACAGAGTTAATTGTCACAGTAAGCTACAACAGCAAAAGTATAAAAAGGATCAAGTAAGAACACGCAAACATGAGTTAGATAACAATTAATAGTTATTAATTATTCCTAGAAATAAACAACTTTAACTCAAATCATTTGGTATCACTAAGGTATAATCACGTTAAACAAACAGCTAAAACGAACAATTTCAGTGAGGCAAAACTTCTTATCTGAAATGTAGATATTAACGTCCTTGAGGGGGCGGGCTAGAGTCGTAACCCTAGCAACAGAAGCTAAACCAATCAGAAAGCTAGCCTTCTCAAACTGTGATAAAAGGCCGGAAATGACACACGCCCACCGAGCATTTCCGGGAGGCGCACACAGAGACGGTTCGTTCTTTAATGCTCCAAAATATATGCATATATTTTAATAATGTAATTGTTTGTCTCTGAATATCTGTAACCCATGTTTTGTCAAATAAATCTTTTATACCGAGGGCGACGTCTCAGCTGTTTTGAACACGACGTGGTAGCCAGCCACGACAATAGAGAGGAACGATGGTTTGAGAGAGGAGTAAAGGAGGCCATCTTTGTGAAAAGAAACCATCCATCATTAAACAGGGGTGGAGGCCTCCGGGTTCAACTGTCCCCCTCTTACAATGCTGTGATTGCTAGTATCACTCAGCCCCCTGTGAATAGTAAACAGCCATCAGGGCACTAACGATCAGTCGTTAGACTGATGGTCCTCCTTTTGCATGTGAACAATGAGTTTATACACATACTCACATTACATACATACATGGTTACACAATACATATATTCATTCATTCAACCTTTATTTAAACAGATTAATCCCACTGAGCCTCGGGGACTCATTTACAAGAGAGACCTGAGTGTACATGGGGAATATACATCTACATAACAGTATAAATTTTTATAATTTTACATTTTAAGGCTCTTTTAAAGCTCACCAAAAAAAAGCGCATACCGGTAATTTGAGATCATCATTCAATTAATTCCACAGTTTCACGCCGATAACTGAAATACATCTAGATTTTACTTTACTTTTCTCTTTAGCTTGTTCAAATATTAACAAACCTCATAAATTATATTTACTCTCTTAACTTAAATAATTTCTGAATTCCAGAAGGAAGACTTTTATTCAGTGCTTTATAAATTATTTCCAGTATTTTTATATAAACAATGTCATTAAATTTTAAAGTATTACTTTGAATAAAAAGTTTATTAGTTGATTCACAATATCCCACTTTATTAATAAGCCTAATTGCTTTTTTTTTGTAACTTTACTAATATGTCAATAGTTGCTTTATTTGCATTTCCCCATACTTCTGAGCAATATAACAAGTAGGGCATAACCAAGGAAGACTATATAATATGCAAGCCTTTTACATTTATTTAATGTTTTATTTTAAACAATATTCCAATAGTTTTTGCAATTTTATTTCTAATATATTCAGTATGAGGCTTCCAATTAAGTTTGTTGTCCAGAATGATAACTAAAATTTTTGTCTCATAAACTCAATTTCAACTCCATTTATATGTAACTTTACATTATTGTAAATCCGATTAACAGAAAACACCATATATTTAGTTTTTTTTTTTTTCATTTAAAGATAGCTTATTACAATCAAATCACTTTTTTAACTCAGCCAACTCTTTTTCTACTATTTGTAATAGTTCATCCATATTCTTTCCAGCTTGCTTGGTGGTAGCCTACTTAGAGGTATTACACTGGAGTTTTGGGATTATTATTGCTCACTTGTCAATCTTATTAACCAGTTATGTGGCTTCTGAAGGCAATGGTTGGGGCTTTAAAGCAATAGAGGGAAACACACAACTATTTTGTTGTAAATTTCTTAGAATAATTCAAAGTTTTTTTTCTTGTTGGCTCTTGGTGTGTGAGTGATGGGGTCTCGTAATCCTGAGGCTGTGGGTTTGAGCCCAGGTTGCTTCAGGAAGGCTGTCTGGTGTAAAACATTTAAAACATTAAAACTTTCTTTAATGAAAGTTCACTCGCTGCGGCCACCTCTACACAAACGAGCAACCTAATGAATAACAACAATTAAAGTTCTTTATCCGTCTAAATTAAAAGCTGAAAGGCAACAATTTCAAATTAAATGTAGGGAAGTGAGTGTTAGAGCAGCTGTATGATAGCTCATACAGTCCTTTTTAAAATCAAATAACCAGATGTTTTCTAACAGCAGGGAAGCACTGAAAATGTGCGCCAGAAATTATCCACTTCGGGGAAACTTCATGAAAATTAAAATCATGCGTCAGAAACCCCTTTTCCCACATCAGTACCAATTATTACCTTATTGATCGATAAACAAACTATGATAATAAAAAAAAAACAAAATATAAACATAGCATGCATCCATCCATCCATCCATCCATCCATCCATCCATCCATCCATCCATCCATCCATCCATCCATCCTTCCATCGCGGCCGGAGCTGCTAGCTCTCCAGCGTTCCTCCATCTGCACCATCTGAGTGAAGCGAGCACGTATGGGAGGACTCGCTGTTGCAGTTCTTAGAAATTTAAAGCGTCAGTCAAAAATTGTGTTGTGAATATGGGGGAAAAAACGTATATAAGTCGCTTCAGCGTATAAGTCGCAGGACCAACAAATCTATGCAAAAAAAACGGTGGCTTATACACCGGAAAATACTCTCAGGTCTGACTCCTGGCTCACTGCTTACTTTTTCCCAGTCTAACCCTTGCAGCCTGTGGAGAAGCTCCACAAGCCACTTGCAGTGAGACAGCAAGTTCTAATTCAAATGTGAAGATATGGAGACCAGTCAGGACAAGACACAACAACAAACAAGCTAGTTTACAGCCGTACATACAACCTTTCAAATGTTCACTGCAGATTATATAGGAGAGGATGGTGACTCCACCTGTTGAGAAAGATGCTGCTGACATCATCGTGGCTGATGGGAGGTTTCTTGGAGCTGGCAGCCATGCGGAGCGGCCTGAGGAAGCAGTTCACCAGGATGGAGAGCTGGTGGACATACTCCGTTTCTGCTTCCACCATGTTGAACACAATCTGGTTCCTCTTCCTCATGCTCTCAGCATGAGGAGAGCAGATGTAGTCCTGGACAATGATCTTCCACTTCCTCCGGCACAACCAGCCACGCAGGAAGCTTTGCACCTGTAATATCACAGAGCATTTTGTGTTTCACAGGTACAGTGGGCGGCAAATGTCCAGGTCATGTTTCCGTTTTGATGCTTTACTACCTAAAGTTTTTTTTTAATCCTAATTTGATTATGAGTAACAATGTTGCGAACGTGCTTCAGATTAAGGAAGTTAAATAAGAAGAAACTCATTTTAAGTAATTCTAAAAGGCACAAAACTAAAAAGTTATGTGTGCATATAGTCAGTTCATTCTGGAGATGCCTTTTGCAGTTCAACCTTAACTACAGTACAACCTTTTACAGTCGTGTTTTCAACTTTGCAGGCAAGGCACAACCATCCACTGAAATTTGTGACCATTTTTCATGATGAAGTTGCTCCTGCTCCTTCAAGTTGTGTAAAACAATCTTGAAATCTTTCCAGAGATTGTTAAAATGGATAAAGGTCCGGGCTTTGACTGGTCCATTACAGTACATTAAACTGTTTCTCCTTAAACCACCAAGTGTTACCTGAATTTTTGCTGTATAAGTCGCAGTTTTTTACATAAATTAGCATACCTGTGACTTATACAGCGAAGCAACAAATTTATGTTTTTGTCCCCATATTTATAAACCAATTTTTGGTTGAGATCTGGTGATTTCATTCATTCTGACATGGAATATTGAACACTACCATTTTCAGCCACTAGAGTGCCCTCGACTAATGTGTAAAGCCATTAATAGGTACAAGTGACTATTAATGAGACACTTGGCTTGCCATACCAAGCCATCTTCATCTTGCTCTGAACTCCTGGAGCAAATGTCACATCAGTTGCATTTCGCTACGCCGCTCAGGTGAAATGTAGCTGATGTGACCATTAAAATGCATTTATTAAGGAAAAGTTCAACTGAGACACACCTTTACTTTAATGTCGAGCAAACAAATAATTGTTTTAAAGTGTTAATCTTGTTAAATTCTTGGTAAAGTCCTCCCGTGCATGCTCCTGCGGCTGCCTTTTGGCAGCCAATCAATTTTTGGCACAACACCGGCCCCAACCACATGGTTGTCAACGGTGACGCATAATAGATGTGACGTATACGGTGAAGCAACATTTACGGTGGTAAGTATGGTACTTCAGGGGCGTGTATAGGATCATTATCCTGCTGGAAGCTGAACCCAGTCACTGTCAGTGAAAAACATCACACCATGATGCAGCCCCTACCATGCATCACTGTAGGGACGGTGTTCTCAGACTGATGAGAGGTGTTGGATTAGTCTCAGATATGGAGCTGACCATGATGGTTAAAAAAAATTCTTTATCAGTCTCATCTTACTACAGTACCTTTTTTCATGTTGGAGAAAGAAATTCCATTAGCTTTATTTATATCCTTAGTAATATATTTTTCAGGTCCATCAGGGTTGTCTTTGGCTTCTTGGTTTCTTAAGATTAATGTCCGCCATGCCTGGTCAATGTGTTTAGGTAGACAAACCACTCTTTGCAGTTTGCTGTGGTGCCATAATCTTTCCATTTTCTTGTACTGGATTTAATACTGCTCTGTGGATTGTTCAGGGTTTGGGATAGTTTCTTTGAACCCAACTTTGATCTGAACTTCACAACTTTCCCTCTGATCTGTGTAAAGAGTTCCTTGGTCTTCATGCTGTCTCTTGACTGGTCATAGCTCATACTACTTAGAGATGTGCCAGTGTTGATTTTGAGAGTATTCCAAGTAGGTGAACAGGATTATAATTTATTAATTATACAGTTTAAAATCAAAGGGGGTGAACATGTGCAAGCAAGGCCTTTTTGTTTTATGCTTAATAAAACTATCTATAAGAAGTGTTTCCCCCAATGGAATTCATTAACAAGGTATTATATGTAAATTATTACTTATAATCAGAAAAAAAATCCAATCAAATTCCATGATGTAAGGCAACAAAAACAAAGGTTATCAAGGGGTTTAAGTTTTGCCAACCACTGTACTCTGTGCATTATTTCCACACATACCATTGTGGGATAATTTACCTTTTTGATCTTTTTAATATCTGGGTCCTCCTCCTCCTCTTGGTTGTTCTGGTAAGGCAGCATCTTCTCCTTGGTTTTGTTCAGCATGACAATCTGCAACAACAAGAGTCTTCATGTGAACACACAAGCACTGAGGATGAAATAATCTTGAAACTGTTTTGAATATTCACAAATACTATTATCTAGTGCATGGCAGGAGCATAAAGGGTTTGGACCACTGGAGCTTTGTTGTGTTTTATTTCTACTGAAGTGTTTTCTTACCACACCAGAGGCGATTGCATGATTTGATGTAAATGTGTTCCATCTGAGTGCCTGTGCATGTGAATGTGTGTGCGACAGTTTGTGCATTTAAGTATACACAGTTGTGCACACAGATGTGAATGCACTCATGCATACCTCAGCTTTGAGCCTCTCAATCTCGGTGTCCTGGTCCTCCAGCTGAGTGCGAAGCTGATTGGCTGCGATCTTTTCTGTCTCCAAGATTTGGACCAGGTGGATGTATTTCTGCATCAAGATCTCCCGCTCCACGACAATATCAGAGTAACTAACAATGGAAAGAGAAAAGGAACTTAAATACATGTAAAACTTACTAATGTATTAAAAAGTTGCTTCTGTAACATTTGATACTAGTAAATGGATGGACACGGTATATCAGCACCTGTGCTTAAGGTAAACAAGTGGTTTGAGGTGCTGTTTTATTCCAAAACTACTTCTATATTTAAAATAGGAGAGACAGCCACAGAGAGAAAGTGATGAGAGAAATAGAGGTCGAGTGGTGAGATCAAGTCTGTGATGTAACCAGTGTGGCATTACAGTGCTAGTGTGACCTAAATGTGAACCGCTGCGAGTAGAAAGCCTCCACACATACACACATACATATATATACACACACGTATATATACAGTATATATATATATATATATATATATATATATATATATATATATATATA